TTGTAGCATCCTGTGCGCAGTTCCTGATGAGCCTGCGCATGGTACGCAAATCGCTCAATCTTGGGCCTTTCACTCCTGGGCTACGCCTGAGTCACATACTACTGAAGTTTGACAGGCCATAGAGTACTCGCAGGTTGCACCCAGACATGGCGAGCTCGCAGATTGAAACATTGTTACCCACACATGTATTTCATGCATTTTCTCGTCATATCTTGTCTGGCGTAGCCTCCTCGTGGCGCCTGCACTGCCAATCCACAGCTCACTCGCAGCCAATCCGACCAGCCCTCTGGGCTGAAGTGGTTTAGAGATCTTCATCTTCCATTATGCTCCCTGCTTCCCCCTCGGGAAAAGGGCCACAACTGTTCCTCATTAGTCCGCCACCGTGCCCTTGAGCACGGAGTGGGCGTGCCCTCAGGTCAACTCACTGCCCCTCTAAGCCTCAATCCTCGGGGCTTAACGCAATTCCCCTGGGCTCCGGCAAATGGTGTCGCATGACTTTCCTGGGGCCAAGAGGGCCCCGAGAGGGGCCAAGAGGGCCCCCAAAGGCTGCCAAGACGGTCCAAGAAGGCCCCGAGACGCCCAGTGATCGCTCCAAGACGCTCAAGATGGCCCTCGGACGGCCCAAGAGGCCTCCAACGCCCCAAGAGGCCTCCAAAAGGCCCCCCAAGAGGGCCCCAAGAGGCAAATATCAATGTGTTTCCTTCAGTGTTTGACAGTTTTTAGCTTTCTCGCCTTTCGGCCTCCCGGCGCTCGAAGGCGGCCCAAGAGGCCCCCAAGACCGCGCCAAGATGGCCCGAGAGGCCTCCAAGAGGGCCCCAAATCGGCCCAAGAGGGCCCCAAGAGGCGTCCAAGACGCCCTAAGAGGGGCCCAAGAGGCGTCCAAGACGCCCTAGAGGACCCCAACACGGCCCCAAGAGGGGCCCAAGAGAGGGATCACGAACCGAGAATCCGAGCCTTCGGCCCCAAGAGGCCCGCAGGAGGCCCCCAGAGGCAACCAAGAAGCCCCAAGAGGCCCCCAAGAGTCCCCCAAGAGGCCCCAAGACGCCCGCATGAGTCCCAAAAGAAGCCTCAAGAGGCCCCAAAACGGCCCCCACGAGGCCCCAACAGCCCCCAAGAGGCCTCCAAACTGCTTCCAAGATGTCCCCGGGAGGCCCCCCACGAGATCCCGAGGACCTTCCAATAGGCTTCTACCCACAACCCAGTCACGGCGGCGGGCTGGGCTGAAAGCCATTAGATCCGCCGCCCCCTTTTGATTTATATATCGAAGGGGTACCTGGCGTGCCGGATGAGATGGCTTTTGGTTTTGGTTCTTTTTCCAAAAGAACTCCCCCTGGGGCTTCGGCCCGTCCCGCCGGGGTCCCGGGAGATTCCCGAAAATCAAGCCGTCAATGCCTTTGTTGCCCCAAGTTGGCCCAAGATGGCCTCCAAGACGGCCAAGATGGCCCAGGATGGCCTCCAAGATGCCTCCAAGACAGCCCAAGATGGTCCAAGACGGCCTCCAAGACGGCCCAAGAGAGTCCAAGACGGCCCAAGAGGCCCCCCAGAGGCCTCCAAAACGGCCCAAGAGGCCTCCAAGAGGTCCTCCAGGAGGGCCCGAAGAGGCTAAAATCATTGATTTTCCTGAGGTTTTTGGAGGATTTGGGAATTTGCTTCTTCTCGGCATTCCGACGGCTCAAGATGGCCCCATGACGGCCCAAGTGGCCTCCAAGACGGCCCCCAAGAAGGCCCCAAGACGGCCCAAGAGGCCTCCAACACGCCCAAGAAGGCCTCCAAGACGCCCAAGATGGCCTCCAAGACGGCCCCGAAGCGCCCCAAGAGGGCCCCAAGTCGGCCCAGAAAGGCCCCCAAGACGGCTCCCGACGGCGTCAGACGTGCCAGGAACCCACCAAGATGGCCGAAGTTGGCTCGAAGCTGGCCCAAGACGGCCCAAGAGGCCCCCAAGAGGGCCTCCAGGAAGGCCAGAAGAGGCCAAAATCATTGATTGTCCTTAGGTTTTTGACGGATTTTGACATTTGCTTCTTTTCGGCCTTCCGACGGCCCGAGACGGCCCAAGAGCCCCCAAAGATCGCCGAAAGATCGCCAAAGAGGCCTCCAAGATGGCCCCAGAACGGCCCAAGAGGGCCCCAAGACGGCCCCCAAGACGGTCCAGGAGGCCTTTAAGACGCCCAAGATGGCCTCCAAGACGGCCCTGGAGCATTCCAAGAGGGCCCCAAGTCGGCCGATAGAGCCCCCCGAAACGGCTTCCGACGGCGTCAGACGGACCAGGAGCCCACCAAGGCGGCCGAACATGGCCCTAAGATGGCCCAAGACGGCCCAAGAGGCCTCCAAGAGGGCCTCCAGGAAGGCCCGAAAAGGCCAACATCATTGATTTCCCCTGGGTTTTTGAAGGATTGTGGCATTTGTTTTTTTTTGTCTGCCTTCCAACGGCCCGAGACGGCCGAAGTGCCCCCAAAGATCGCCCAAGAGGCCCAAGACACGGCCCCAAGAGGCCCCCAAGACGGCCCAAGAGGCCTCCAAGACGCTCAAGATGGCCTCCAAGACGGCCCAAGAGCCCTCCAGGACGTCCTCCCAGAAGGCCCGAAAGGGTCAGAATGGCCTCCACACGGCCAAGATGACCTTCAAGATGCCCACGTGTTCCCCGAGGGCTTTCCAAACCGATTCGGGGAACACATAGTCTGATAGCTTGGCAGGTCTGGCCTCAACTTTCGGCCACATAGGCGCTTCCAAGAATGCAGGGGGCGGCGGTGATTCGCCGTAGGCGTCTTCGATCCGCCGCCCCCTGTTGATTCATCACAGGGGTGCCTGACGTGCTAGACGATTCCGGTTGTGGTTTTGGCTCTTTTCCAAAAGAACTCCCCCTGGGGCTCCGGCGTGTCCCGCCGGGGTCCCGGAAGGATTGCCACCGAGCAGGATTTCCCCAATTTTTCCTCCAAGACGGCTGAAGATGGCCTCCAAGATAACCACGTTGGCCCAAGATGGTCTCCAAGATGGTCCCAGATGGCCTCCAAGACGGCCCAGGAGAGGAGGAGATGCCTCCAAGTCCGCCCAAGAAACCTCCAAGAGGGCCCAAGACGGCCCAAGGCGGCCCAAGACGTGCCCAAGAGGCCTCCAAGACGGCCCAAGAGGCCTCCGAGAGGTCTTCCAGGAGAGCCCGAAGAGGCTAAAATCCTTGATTTTCCCTTGGTATTTGAAGGTTTTTCTTATTTGCTCCTTTTCGGCTTTCCGACGACCCAAGACGGCCAAAGAGGCCCCCAAGATCGCCCCCACAGCGCCCAAGAGGCCTCCAAGATAGCCTCAGGATTGCCCAAGAGGCCCCCACGACGGCCCCAAGAGGGCACAAAGACGACCAAGAGGCCTCCAAGACGCCCAAGATGGCCTCTAAGACAGCTCTGGAGCGCCCCAAGAGGGCCCCAAGTCGGCCCAGAGAGGCCCCCCAAACGGCTACGGCGTTGGGCCAGGAGCCCACCAAGATGGCCGAAGTTGGCTGGAAGCTGGCCCAAGACGGCCCAAGAGGCATCCAAGAGGGCCTCCAGGAAGGCCAGAAAAAGCCAAAAACATTGATTTGCCTTAGGTGTTTGACAAATTTTGACATTTGCTTCTTTGCGGCATTCCAACGGCCCGAGACGGCCCAGGAGCACCCAAATATCGCCCAAATATCACCCAAGAGGCCTCCAAGATGGCCCAGAACCGCCCAAGAGGTCCCCAAGACGGCCCCAAGAGGCCCCCAAGACGGCCCCAAGAGGCCCCCAAGACGGCCCAGGAGGCTTTCAAGACGCCCAAGATGGCCTCCAAGACGGCCCTGGAGCATTCCAAGAGGGCCCCAAGTCGGCCCAGAGAGGCCCCCCAAACGGCTTCCTTCGGCGTCGGACGGGCCAGGAGCCCACCAAAACTGCCGAAGATGGCCCTAAAATGGCCCAAGACGGCCCAAGAGGCCTCCATGAGGGCCCCCAGGAAGGCCCGAAAAGGCCAACATCATCGATTTCCCCTGGGTTTTTGAAGGATGGTGGCATTTGCTTTTTTTTTGCCTTCCAACGGCCCGAGACGGCCCAAGTGCCCCCAAAGATCGCCCAAGAGGCCCAAGACGGCCCCAAGAGGCCCCCAAGACGGCCCAAGAGGCCTCCAAGACGCTCAAGATGGCCTCCAAGACGGCCCAAGAGCCCTCCAGGACGACCTCCAAGAAGGCCCGAAAGAGTCAAAATGGCCTCCACACGGCCAAGATGACCTTCAAGATGCCCACGTGTTCCCCGAGGGCTTTCCAAACCGATTCGGGGAACACATGGTCCGATAGCTTGGCAGGTCCGGCCTCAACGTTCGGCCACACAGGCGCTTCCACACGGGGCGGCGGTGATTCGCCGTAGGCGTCCTAGATACACACATCTGCTTCCCTGTCTGGCCGGCGACAGTCCCAAAACCAGGAGGGCAGCCCCGCGCCAGACCTGCCAAAAGAAGCAATACAGCATGCACTTTGCAGATGCGCCGCGATCACTCCACCATGTCTTCTCACAGAGGCGAGGAGGGGGCAGCACGTTGCATAGCGAGTGCAGGCCCACCACCCCTGCCAAAAGCGAGCGCAAAGCGCACGCTGCGGCAACATGTTGGACCATGCGCGGGTGCCGCGCGATCATGTTGCCCTGTTGCTTGACAGGGATCATGGGGGATGCCCAGGCGCGCGCAGCGCACCTCACTGGCGTCACACACCTGGCTGGCGCCTGCATTGGTTCCCAGGTGCTACTTAGTGTGGTGGCGGGCGGGCGGGGGGAGACGGCCGTGCTTCGGGGCTTCCGGGGGGGGGGGGGCAGCTTGACCCCTCACCCCTCCCCATTCCCCATCCCTCCTCCGCCTGGATCTGGAGGCGAGGGACGGGAGATAGCTGCGGGGGTGGCCGCGAGCAGTCAGAGCGTCCAATATGGCCTCAGCGAGAAAGCAGACAGCATGTAGATTCCTTCTGGGTGTGGGCCTAGTTTCTCCTTAAGTGGGGGGGAACTTCCACCGCCCCTTGT